CGTCCCCGCCAGAGCAGAGCGACCGCAGGGGCACGGCGCAGCGGCACGGTGCCGGGATGAGCCCTCGGGGCCGAGGCACCAGGGAGGGCCCAGGGTGTGCAGGACATGGAGCAAAGGATGCCAGAATCGCGAGGGGACGGAGGTCCTGGGGGGCAACGCGCTGGGGGTGTGTGTGAAGTGGTGTATTTCTCTAAGCCTCCATGGGAATGGCAACGTTTTATGTATGATTTCAAGAATCTTCAGAACTTCTGCCTTTTAGGAGCTCTCACAGACTCTGATAGAGGCTGTGAAAGCACTTCTTCCATAAACTTCTGAAAATATAAGGAAAATAAACAACATCGCAGCTTTTACTGGTTCAAAGCATCTCCTGATTTTTTAAGCCAATTGCTGGATTTTTTTTAGTGGCCCGACTCTTGATTTATGGATTTATAGGCCAAGTAATGCTCCTGACGGTTGCCAAGAAAACGTCCGGTGTAGAAAGCTGGTCCTAAATCAGAGCATTCAGCTGGTTAATTGTGCAGCGAGCTGGGCCAGAGAGAATTATGGAGCTTAAAACTGAGACTCTGATCTTGCAAGAACTGCGTGGGTGGATTCCTGTGCCTTTATGGGTCTCTGTGCAGCACATAAATTTAAGATGTCAGTGCTCCACTAAGTACATTTCAATTCTAAATTTATCATATAGATGTGTCTACTGAAGTGTGCCTTTAACCTCTCCAAATTCTTCCTCTGGGAAGTCCTCACTGAGGCCCAGTCTCAAGCTTTGAGACTTCTTGTTTTGATATCTTTTCTCTGTATAAAAACCTACAAGGTTTTACTTATGCTAGAAAATATTTTTCTTGCTCAGATGAAATCAAAACATTTTCCTTAAGAAAGCAAACCATGCACCTGTGGGTTGGGACACCAGAATTGTTGGGATAGCGCCTCGGTGCTCGTTCCAATCTGTAATCATTTACTACAAGGGTTAATAGAAAAAGAAAACAGTTTCTTTCCCTGAAACACGGTTGTTGTTTCAGTACCCAGAAGGTACTGCAATAACAGCCCCAAATGATCCCAGCTTAAAAATCAGGAGGTTTCTAATCACGAAAGAAATGAGATTTTGCAGTCTGTATTCTTGCTCGGGGGGGTTAATCAGAACCCAGCTGTGGTTAAGATGGGATTTGGTTAGTTTATAAAAGGACACACACATGGTTATGCCCTTGCCTGTGCCGGTGGCAGACAGGACCCGTGGGGCCATGGAGCATCTCCAGGTGATGTCCCAGGGCCAGCTGGAGCTGCCTGCCCGGTCCTGCCTTCCCCGGCCCCTCTCCTCCCCCTGTGCCAGGGGGTGCACCCCACAGCCGAGCCGATCGCCCCTGGCTTGAGCACCCACCTACATGCCGAGCCCTCCTAATTACGGATGTGAACCGAGCCCTCGCGAGGGAGCGATGTCGCCGTCTGAGCCCTGTGAACACTCACGTTGTAATGAGCTGCACCAGGCTGGAGGAGCTGAGGAAGAGTTCTCTGCCAGGCTCCCTGGCCTGTCGTGCTCTGTAGTCATTTGATCGGGACTGTGGGCTCTTGCCAGCTCACGTTATTAGGGGTAGTCTTTCCGGCTGAAGAGATGGGGAAAAAGAAAAAAGGAGCAAAGGAAGCATTTCACGTTACATGCAGTGAGCCTTATGCATGAACCGTGCGATTCGGCTAGCGCTCGCCCACCGCTAACAGCAGAGCACAGCTACGAAGAAATCAGCTTTTCACTCGGTGCTCCCTGCCAGAAGAATGATTTTCTTCTTTGGTAAAAGAAGAAAGGCCAAGACTGTCAAATTCACAGAGCTCCAATAAATCCTGCTGTGGGGAAGGTGCTTGGGGGACTCCTTTTCCATTCCTGCCCCCGTCAGTGGACAGTGCAGGGGCTTAAAGGGCACCGGCGATTCCCAGGGCTGGAAGAAAGATGCAGTGGTTTAGGGGGATGGAGGGGCCGGGCACCCCATGTCCAGCTGCCCCTCGGGGGAGCCGTGGAGCGCTGCGTGCCGCTGCTGGGGACCGCTCCTGCTGCTGTACGCGGGGTCTCAGGCCCCACGCCGCGATGCTGAACGGGGAACGGAAAGGCAGGACCGTGCTCGGCAGGGACGGTGCCCAGCTGGGCGCTTGCTCTGGGGCCCGGAGCCAGCGCATGGCACAGACCTGCTCCGAGCCTGCAAACCCGGAGCTGGGACTGGGGACGACGGGGCAGATGGTCTCTCGGGGAGACCTCCTGGACAACCAGGACACAAATACTCCGATGGTAACGGTCGGCTGTGAAGCCATGGGGCATGCCTGCAAAGCTCAGCACCCTTGAACTAGGGCTGGGATGGTGCAAAATAATTACAGAAAGGATACTCAGAAGAATACAGCAATTAGCGGCCTGAAAAAGGGTGTAGGTGAGAACACTCCCCGTCATTCAGCTGAAGACCCTCACAGACACTAGAGCTGAATTCATTCAGCTTAAACTGCCGGAGCGGTTCCAGTCTCGCACGCCGTTCCTGGTCTTCTTTCCACCACTAAAATATTACCTAATGGGTCTCCTCAAAAGGCTGATGCACCCTACCCAAAAAGTAGCTACGCATCAGGGGTGGCTGCAGATTTATTCATGGTAAGCTTACGCAATCCTGCGTGTGTTTATTTCAAAGGCTGCCCGGAGTCAGCCCAAGTGTCCTAGCAATAAAGGCACAAAAAGCAAGGGTGCAGGAGCGTTAGAGGAAGCTCAGGCAGGGCAGCAGCCTGGGACACGGGTCTCAGGAAACCAGCCCCTGGCCAGGTGACCCCCCGCTGCCCGCTGACGTTCCCACAGCCACGTGGCAGTGCCCCCAACCCTTTTATTTGGGCAGGGTGAAGCAGCAGAAAGGAAGCTGTGCTTGGCAGCACGCTGAACAGAAATCAAAGACAGAGTTTGGAGGAAGGAACGCTCCAAAGGCTGCTGCTGTTTCCTGGCAGGGACAAGGGGCTGGGGGGGCCACAGTGCCCCCTCCCCGCGGCTGGCTGACGCTCAGCACCCGCATGCAGAGCTGAGCAATGTGGGGACCCGGCAAGGAGCCGCCCAGGGTTACGCCCAGAGCCCTGCGTCTGCTGCTGTGAGCGACGGCCAAGGGGACTGAAGGGGTTCAGCTACAGGGGGCGAGCTCCTCGGTCGTGCATGTGCCCGAGGACGAACCCCAGCGAGCGGCGCGAGCCGGAGCACCTCGGCGTCCCGTGGGCTGCGGCGGTGGAGATCGCTTCCTTGGTGCTCGAGGGGCTCTTCCGCCCCTGCGCATCCCTTTCGACGCCGACTCTTCTCGCGGCGCTGGGACTAGAGATCAAGAAGCTCCTGCTTGCTGCTCTTTTCCAGCCATGTTATTAGGTTAAAAAAAAACAAAAAAATCCCTCGACAAAGAAGTGAGTGGTGTATTTAGGAAATCTTTTGGAAAGAGGCTGCATTCTCCTCCTCGGAGAGCGAAGCAAAGGGTGCAGGCTGCCGAGCTGCGGGGCAGAGGGCGGCTTGCCCACCCCACGCTTCCCCCAGTAACGCCTTCCATCTCCTGGCACCTCGCCTGCTGCTCCTGCGCGCTGCTGCAAGCTCCTGTGTGGTCGCCTCGGCTGGGCACTTCTCCATAAATTCTGGCTTAAAAGCAAGTTGCAAGACTCCCATTTAAGAGAGAAAGCTGTTTTCTCCTGTGATAGGTCTTTTTGTTAAATAAAAGCAAGAAGTCTGAAAACAAAATGCCAGTGCACATCATCACAACGTCAGAGTTGAGAGGGATGGGAAAATAGATGTGAGGAGGGGAAAAAGATGCTGGATAGATGGAAAGAAGCTGGTGCTGTATCTGCAGTCATCATAAGTAAGTAGAAAGGTGCGTATGCTGACAGAGACAGCTGAACAAGAACCAGTGAGCTGAAGTTATAAATGAGAAAACATTTAAAAAACACATACTATCAAACATGCCTCTCTAACAGGCAGAACAACCCACCCCTGTGCAAACCCACTGCCCCGAGCCATGCTCGCACGCCCTGGCCACGCGCAGGGAGGGTCGGCCGCATCCCCGGGGTGCTGGGATGGGTCCTGCGCTGCCTGCGGGACCCGAGCAGTGGGATCTGCACAGCAGAGGATGGCTGCAGCGTGTGCAACACTGGGACATTGTTTAAAGAAGAAAAAAAGCACACTTGGACTCTTCTTCTTTTTTTTTTTTTACTTCATGGAAACTTTATAAACACTTGAAGTAATCTACGCTTTTACATGACAAAACGGCTCCGATGGCTGATGTCCGGGGGCCCTGCTGCGCTGCATGGGACGAATCCCGCGCTCCCGGCTGCGTCGCTCCTGTGGCACTGGCAGCAGGGACTGTGCCCCACAGCCCTTCACCAGCACAAGCGAACGCCCTACTGCCGCTCCACCGCTGGTCCCCAGCGTTCAGCTGTATGCACGGAGGAGGGAAAACCAGCACTGACACACATGTGACAAATGACTTTAAAAGGACACAATGAAATACGTTTCTAATAAGCTGCTTCCCTCCATTGTTTACAATGTCAGACTTGAAACCAAACTCCCTCGGATTTCTTTCTTCCCACGGACCCCAGCTCTGTCCTGCAGGCTCTGTGCCGGGCAGCGAGCACGAGGCTGACCGAACACGAGCAGCGTGGGGGATACAACAGCCACCGTTTCCAACGGGACGAGTACTGTGGCACCAGCGCTGTGCAGCATCCATGTGCAGCGTGGGGGGTGCCACCACCAGAGCCACCCGTGTCCACAGAAGCCCGGGCGCTTCCCAAACCGACAGCCTCGAGGGGCCCTCAACGCACAGCCCTGAGAGGGGAAGGCATTTTGGGAAACGTTGGCCTTCTGTGGAGGAACCACTGGCACAGCCACCCCAGGAGGTGACGAAGCCAGCCGTCCCCGAAGGGCAGGCTCGGGCGCCAGTGCCTGCCTACAGCAGGAGAGACCAGGGGCTGACTGGGTCCGCAGGCAGGGTGGCTCCACTGCCTGGCTGCCCCCAGCCGTCACGGCCATTCCGGGCTGGTCAGAGCGCCTCTCTCCTGCCTTCAGACTCGCTGGCTCACAGTCTTACCTGCTCTCCGAGATACCTGATCAGAAAAACATGATGCGCTGTTTCGGTGCTGCTCACGCCTCCCGGCCACTTGCGAGAGGATGCAGCAGAAAGGGCTCACCGTAGCTTTGAAAAGCCCTGAGATGCCGGTGTGTGTAATACAGTCTAGGCTTTGATACCACTGCTCTGTTTGGTTTTTTTTAAAGCCACTTTTATGTGCCACTGTTCAAAGCAGAAGTACAGGAGCGAGCAGCTGGGGCACCGCCAAAGCCCGAGGGAGCGGAAGCACCATTGACACAACACGTGTGTGTCCAGTGAACGCCAGAACTACATTCAGCAATAAAGCAGACAGGCGCTAGATGCACACACAAGGCAAGCACCAGGAGACAGCACGGGAAGGACCGCGGCAGCATCCCACCGGCAAACCTGTGCCAGGCAGGACACAAAGCGCGCTCGAGAGGATGGAGCACCTGGGAAGCAGCTAACGGGGATGTTTGGCCACCGGTTTGGGAATGCTCCCAGCACCCAAGGAAAATCATTCAAAACAGGGAAGCTGCCTTTGGGCTGGCGAGAGGAAGCAGGGACGCCGCTCATTGCCTATTTACAGGTAAATGCTACAGCTCAGGAACTGAGCCCTGGTGTCAGCTGGAACCACAAATAAGCCTCTACTGTTAACGGGGGCACTAGGGGTGGTCCTGGCTAGGAGAAACCTTTCCAGACCAAAGGGCATCATCTACACGGCCACTGCTGAGGAAAAGAGACTGGACATCTCTTGGATTGGAAATTAATGTTACAAGCAAACAAGAAACTGTGTGCCTTTTAGAAAAACGGTGGGCTTTGACCCATATTCAGCGAGTTTCAGTTCCTCGCTGCCTCTGTGCTGGCCCACCAGAATAACCCCGGGGACAGAGACTTCTCGGTGGGCTCGTGGGAAGCGGATCTGGTGGGAGAGGGGCTCCTGCGGGAGGAGGAGGAGGTGGAGGAGGACCGCCTGCTGCCTCCTTCTCCCAGCCGCGCTCTCGGAGGCTGCTAACCCGACCGGCACTGCCTGGAAAGCCGACAACGCAGGCAGGGGATACAGCCCCGCTCAGGCAAAGCCCCCGGCACAGCTGCGTCTGCCGGCGTGGTTTCCCGGGACAGGGGCACACTGACGCCAGGGAGGAGATGAAGAGACGTCCCGCAGAGCCAATTCCTGTCCTGCCTTAGCACAAGCAGCGTTTCCAGTAACATACACTGCTCTCCTACACACTGACAAACACACTATAGCTTACTGAGTGACGAAAACATAACATAAAGGAAGGAGCTTCTCATGGCAAGGCGTCCAACCCGAACTCCAGTCACTCTGCCCTTGCATCCAAGCACAGGGATTCAGCCCCTTGCATTTCGACTCCAATATCTCCCAAGGTCACCCTTGCCAAGGTGCATTTCCCAAAAAGTGAGCAGGTAAACGGCCACTGCCATCCTCTGCTGTCCCTTCCACAGCCCGTCGGCTGGATGGCTCTGCCCAGCGCTGCCGCTGTCGGCGCTCGCCCAGCCCTGCAAACGCTGCCGGTCACCTGCAAGGGCACACACGAGCATCCTTCACAGCCTGCGCAGAGAGGAGTGGCGGAAGGACTGGGAACAGTTCAACACAAATGTCTGGGTAGGGTCTTCTCTCCATCGTTATCTCCCTCTCTTCTAATTTCTTGAGCCACTTACGACAGCATGCTCCGAAATTATCGTCCGGTAAGATAGCTGCTCTCCAGGGGCACTGGAACTGGAAAAGTCTTAGCTGTGACACGTCCGTTTCACAAGCACAGAAAACCCCCTGGGTCTAGCTGGGCTGAGGTGGTTACACAGTCTGGAAGAAGAAAACAAGCATGCTCTATGCAGCAGTGTAAATTCATCAGCGACGGCAAAACCACCACCAGAGCAAGCCCAGATCTCGGCACTGCTCACGTAGCACTCACATTTACCCTGAGTGCTGCAGCGAGGAGGCTCAGGAAGGGAAGAGCCGGCTGATTTACTCCACCCTGCCATATTATCCCCCCCCAACGAAGAGCACAGCCCACCTCCAGTCATTGTCTTTCCTTCTGCAAGGGTCTCCTACAGGAAGGACATTTCTCCTGATCTTTCTTTTGAGATTCCCATCGCCTCCACTGGACTCTTACCACCCCATAAATGCTGAATTTGTGTTACAAGTGTGCTTTTGGTTTACTATTTGATTTATTGTCACAAACACATACCTTTAGCCTCAGCTCTCATCACCTGGGATCCGGCCTTGTGGTGATGAAGAACTGTATATAAGGAAGTAGAAGAATACAGAAAAAAAAAATTAATGCAATAAGCAAGCTCAGACTCAGTTCCACAAACCTAAATAGAGGGCTGGGTAACAGTCGGGTCAGGGATATATTTTTCAATATAACAAGCGAACTCACTGTCAACACCAGCAGACAACATTTGTCAGGCTCACATGCAAACCTGCTTGCACTTTTGGCAGAGGTTGGTGATTTTTAAAAGCAGGAAGCTGAAGCTTATTTGAGCAGATATTATTACAAATGAAATCTGCTGCCACAAACCACAACGCTTGCAATTCAAAGCCCTGCCATTCCAGCCTAGCCCGAAGGCTTCGATGCCCAAGCTGTCACTCCATCACACCGTACCTCTCTGTGGTGGAGCTATACCTGCACATACATTGTGTGTAGGACCATCCACTCTCTCGTCTCGCATCTCTGATCAGCTGCTGCAATCTAACCAGCCCTCCTCATCTCTCCCATGATCTTATCTCTGCTCTTCACAAAGGCTGAGAAGTCAGTACAACGTGCACTACGCTGACTTAGATCTACACACATGATAAAAGGAATCCATAGATATGCTTATTACTTAGCAGATTTACATTTAACTTATCAAATCTGTATCTAGATTCACATTTTACACTTTGTGCTCTTTGTTTAGTTCCAGCATTTTAGCTGAGACCCATCATCTGCCCATGAGTACGAGCCAAGGTCGGGGATGGAGCTTCCCGAGCTGACTCACTCTGCCTCGGAGGGAGCACCCTATGCAGCAGGGCTGCTTTTATATACATGCCAGCTTCACAGTGCCAGGCTTACTTGCTTGTTCTTCGGGAAGCTGTCTCAAAGAACTTTGTCCTAGAGGCCACCCTGCAAAGGGAACAAGAGAGGTCACTCCAGTCATCCGGTAAGGCAATTTGCTAATTAGATCCCATCTGTGCCAGGGAAAAGAACACTAGCATTAGCAGACACTGAAGACGATCACCTTTGAACAATGTCTTTTCCGCCAAGGCAGCAGCCGCACTCCTCATGCTGCCAGCTCCATTCTGCTCTGCCTTCATGCCGCCCTGGCCAGGCAGCCCTTGATCGCTTTTGGCTAGACTGCTTATTTCCATGCTCTTGCTTACAATCCTATGGGCTGGTTTATAAACCTGCATCCATCACTTTTTATGGCCTCTCCTTTAGTTTTTATGTGCTTCATATTTAGCTTCCAACTGTCCTCATAGAAAGAAAAGTTCTAACAAGTGATTCAGGAGAGCAAAGGCAAGGCCTGTTCCTGCCCTGCAGGTGCGGAGCTGAACCTCACGCACCTTTGCTGGACTAAGGAGTGACTGTGCAGGGCTTGGATCAGCTGCACAGCGCGGTTTTACTGGGGGCTCTCCGCAGAGAGCAGGGGCCAGCGCAGAGCGAACTCGGGAGCTGCTCCCACAGCAGGCACTTCCCCCGGGACTGCTCCTGATCGTCACTCGCGGGCTGCGTGGCTTCCACGGTACAGAGGCACTTCAGTGTTTTTGCACCTCGTGTCACTACGGGCAGGGTGAGGCCCTGGGGGTGGCCCCCACATACCCCAGGGCTGCGGCGTGGTGGCAGAGTGCCAGATGAGGGACATTAGCACAGACTTGGGGTGCTGCCCTGCTAGGATGGCAGGGGAACGAAACACGCATCTTTGCTGGATGCGCAGCAGCGAGCTCCGCGGCAGCACCCAGGTTACAGCCTCCCCACCAACCGGTCCTGGATGCCGGGCTGAGATCCCAGTCTGAAAGAAATCTGATGATGAAGCTGAACACCATCCGATTTCCTTAAGAGAGATCCAAGCTGGATCTTGTCCTTCCCCGGGAAGCGTCTCAGTTGAGAGGCTTGCTCAGAGCCAGGCAGGGAGGGGCTCTCCAGCTTCACTGACACGAGAAACAGCACAGAAGGTGACGGGACAAAGCTCAGCCCCAGGGCTGTACTTGAGAAGGTTCAGAGCTTTGTTTTTCCTGCGTGTGTTTGCTTTTGCTATGGCCACACTCCCCTACCAGGCCGTGCCCTCTGCACAGCTTTCCAACGTGATGTTCAAACCTGCGCTTGCACCGGTGTTGAAGGGGACGTCCATGGGCTCCAGCCATTGTACGCCACTGGCGCGGGAAACCAATGTGGTACTTCTCCTCCTTCTCTTCCAAAATTCCCGGTAGGTGACACCAGCTCCTACTCCTGCCGCCAGGGCTGACCTCGCCCCCCTGCATGCACCCCAAGCCCCAGGGTGCCGGCAGCTCCCTTGGGCAGAGCTGCCCGCCCCAGGTACCACGCGCCCGCCGAGGGATGCTGACTTACACAGACGAGGTCATCTCTTCTGCTGTTCCTGCTATCAGATCCGGCCTCTGCTCCAGCCTCGGAGGGACAGGAGTCCTGCACGGTGGGTCCGGAGGTCTCACAGGGGGACGCGTTATCACAGGCTTATCGCCATGGGATCGTGGCTTAGGGACACCATCGTACTCGCCTGCAAGGTTGAGGATTACAAACACTGAGTACGAAGCTTTGGTGGAGGGCTAGATGTTTATGAAAAGGCATTAAAAAAGTTAGTGGGCTTAGTTCTGTCTGTCTGCCCCAACATCCTCTCTTTGACAGCAGCCAATAGCCAGAATTTAGGCAAACAGTCCCAGGAAAAGGCAGTTCCCATTCTGCCTGCCCCAGCACAGCCTTCCTGGCACTAGAAAGAGGGGCTGATGCTGGACCCTGTGATGTCAAATTTGATATAGTTGCTGATTGCAAAGATGATATTGCTTGGGAACAACAAGTTTTCTTAAAACCTGTGCAGTGCTGCTCTTCAAAAGCGAGAGGAATAGCACAAATCGGCGATCCCTGCAGTTTGGGGCCACTGCTTCTCCGAGCTTTTATCTCGGGCAGTGGCACTACCTGTCCTCTCCCCTGGCTTTCTGCTCTGCTCACAGGAGTTCCTGCCTCGGCTGCTTTTCTTCCCCAAGATCCAGCCAACCTCGTTATTCACGTAACCCTTGAAGACTTTCAAGGGTTAATTGAACAAGGAATAAGTGTCAGACTTTACCCGACACCCCTGGTGACCCCACACCTTCTCTCCAGTGCCCAGACCTGCAGGGCACATTTCTGTAAGACAGCGATCCTTGCGATCTTCTCGTCTGGCCATTTATATGGCTCAAAACCATCTTAAGGGCTGGGTTCCTGCCCTTCCGATTTAGACATTTCTACTGCTAGAGTCCTGTTTCTGATTAGAAATAAGTCAGAGATGTTTTTCTATTTGGTAAGATAATTAGTTGCTGCAACTACTTAACCAAGGCTTTGTCAACCCCTTAGTTACTGAACCTTATTATATCCTGGTGTGCTAGCTCAAACACCAGTCCTTAACCAACTCTCTTCCATACTTGCATTTGTAAATTCTGATCCTAAATTTTCCCCTTGGTAAGCTGTATAACTTGAATTTCTCAGTAAAAGGCCTGTTTTCTAATCCTTCAACCCATACTTCTTGGTTTCTCCAGTTTTTCAAAATTATCTCCAAACTGTGCACATTAAAAGCTCAATACGGCGTTCTAGCACCGATATGCAAGTATCAACACAGATGTAATGTAACTTTATTACTACTTCAGTGTTCTTCTATATATACGTTCAAGGATCAACACAGCCAGTTTTATTACGCTGTGGCTCCAGGACATGCTGTCAGCACGCTACGTGTGATAATGCAAAACCATAAAACTTGGAAGCGCTAAATGCAGTTGATGTATAAGCCAACTTTAAAAGCTATCTTACTCTTCCAAAAGCAGATTTCCAGCTACCATTTATGCGACAAATTTAAGTTAAGCCAGTAGTGTCAGTCAGATGAATTTGATGTTTGTGCTACCCAGCCGGGCCTTTCTTCTTTCTCTCCATTGCACATGGGAGTCATTTGTCAAGAATGCAGCCTGGTTTTTATTTTCTAACTACAGGACTGTGAAGCTGTCAGGGTATGACAGCATCTGAAAAGCACTGGAAAGTGCACAAGAAAAGCTGGCAAATTGCAGAAAGCAATACATCTTTTATTACGACCATCGTCCCGAGTATTTTATAAAACTCAGCACCAAATACTTGCTGTTACAGCAATGCGTACTGTCCTGCAAAAGGCTCCCTGGCGATGCAGGGGAGAATGTCTACAGACATGCAGATACACAAACACCTACCTGCCTTCCTCCACTGAAACGGACAATACCAGCTCAGATCTGGCCCCAAACTAATTATTTCTACCTGTAATAAATTTCTGTATAAAGCTTATTAGACTGCAAATAATAATCATTATTTATATTTAACATCAACAGATGAACTGTTGAAATAAATGTTCCCAGTAAAGCCTCAGTAAGCCAGAAGCCGCATCACAGGGGGCCTGACAGATAAAACCATCAGAAATTAAAATGTGAAAGCGACTCTTGCCATTTTCCTCGTCTCTGCTGAGGAGAGCACTGACAATCCAGAGTGCTTATGGCTGGTTACACCGGGTACAAATTGCTTTGGGCTTAACGGTCTTTATATCATTACTCAAGCCTGAATTTTATGAGTCCACTGAGCTAGGTTGAGCTTAGCACAAGCAGAGGCTCAGCTACTGCATGGAAAGCCTGCTTCATCTGACACTGGTGGCATCTGCCTGGCTCAGCAGAGGAGGGGCGGCACCAGCACCGGGCTCTGCAGGCTGCTCCAAAACCCTGCAGCAGCCGCACCCCCAGTAAGCGACAACCAAAAGCATCCACTGTCTGAAATAAAACAGGACAACTCAGGAGGCCAAGGCCTGACCAAACCCTTGGGCTGCAGGCCCGTGCCCACATCTCAAGCTCTTCTGGTCTCCCAACCCCTCTTGCTGAGCTACATCAAGAGGACTCAAGGCAAGAAGCCCACCACCCGCCCCGGCCGTCCTGGCGCTCAATGCGCAGCGGGGAGGGCTGGCTCGGCGCACAGAGCTTTCCTCGGGAGAGCGGCACTCCTTCTGCCTCGCTTCGGTGGGACCCAGCGCGAGCCACGGCCCCGGGCGCACGCTCACCCTCTCTGCCATAGATCCCCGGCCGGGGAGCCGGTCTCCTGGCCTGAAGAGTGGTGGTCTTCAGGGCAGGGCTGGCCACCACCCCGTTGGCAGCCTTGCTGGCGGGCTTCACTCCTCCGTCCTGCAGCCCGGCCCCCAGCTTCCCCCCCCCCCCCCCGGCCCC